GAATTTGCCCAAAAAGTTGCAACAAAATTTGCATCTCCGTCCCTTGACACTTGATACTCAAACAAAAATTAAATAAATGTTTCCATAATTATATGATTATGGAGGTAGTCTACAGGACAATGTCAGAAATTCAATCAGTAGAGGCTGTACCGTGTGCGCGAGTCGGTCCCCCATTACACGTGCAAGTGACTACCTGAGAGGGGGGTCACTCATTCCCGAGACTGCCTTATCAGTGAAGAATATCACAGACAGGGAAATTCTGCATGTCACACAAAAACGTGTCTAAAACTGTTATTTATGAAAATAATTAAATTAACTTTGCTACAGTCCTTGACAGATGTTCAAGTTATTGAATGACATGAATGAAAATGTAAAAAGAGAAAATTAAATAGTCAAAGTTTGACAAAAATGTACATATTTAAGCAAAATCGTGATGAAAAGAATGATTACCTAGACCATACCATTTATATCCTATGACAATGTGTATGACACACCTTCATCCTACTCATAATTATTTTTGTCAATGGCATCTAGATTCCACCAGAGCACAGTTGTTGATCGCCTACATTCCAAAAGCTTTCTCTGTGAAATACATAATGTAACTAGATTTGCATGCAACTGTCAACTCTCCTTCACATTAGGGGATGTGCAACAGATGCAGTTGTCAAACTTCCATTCACAGTCATGGTTATTCAGAGTTTGCACTTTAATTACTTCTCTGTTTGACAATGTGTTCCACCAGTTCCAGTTCCCAGAATAATGATTGCGATTATATATTCCTGCCAACTAGTGCAATTTCTGAAGCGATATTTGCTTCTGGATAAGAAAAACAATAAATGTCAGGGTATTTCAGATTTCCTGTGTTAAAGGATGTGTGGTTTTAGATCACTAGCAATATTCTATTGATATCAAAGCAGGGGACATAAGAAATGGGCTTCACATTTTCATGTTAACCCATGTGGGAATTGAACCCAGGTTTTTGCCTGAAAAGTGAAAGTTTTAACACTGAGCTAACCTACCAACCCAGTTACCTTAGCTATTTGAATCTTGGGACCCCTGAATTTGATTTTACTTGAAGCCTCTGATCTCTACAAGTTTAATAACAAAGAGGTTTCATGAACAATTGAAAATATAGCCAAAGAGTAAGTACAGTTAAATATTCCGGCACAATCACAGCGGGGACACAAGAGTGGGTGAGTGAGAGAGTATGGTTTTACCCCGCTTTTAGCAATATTTCAGCAATATCATGTCGGGGGTCACCAGAAATGGGCTTCAAACATTGTATCCATGTAGGGAATCGAACCCGGGACTTTGGCGTGAAGAGCCCCTGCTTTAACCACTAGGCTACCCCTTCACCCTTCGGGGGACACATGTAATTGGCTTCGAACATTGTACACAACTGGGAATCACACCCTGGTCTTTCTTGTACAAAGTTAAAGGTTTAACCATTAAGCTGACCCACCATCTGGCAATAACACAGTGAAGGAGTGGGAGTCAAAATCAGAACTGGGCTTCACACATTGTAGTTAGTGAGTATGATTTTACACCACTTTTAGCAATATTCCAGCAATATCATGGGACACCAGACACTAGAATGGACTTCACACATTGTACAATCTTGGGGAATCGAACCCGTGTAAACACTCTAGGTTATCACACCTCACCCACTGCCACCAGAGACATACTAAACATGCTACGTCTCCCAAACCCCTACATCCCATAACTCCTACAGCCCAGTACCCCCCTACAATCAGTTAAAACAACACGCAGCATTTACCTGTCTGGCATAATGACCTGACCCAAAGGATAGATTACAGGGTGGAGTATACAGTGTGAGGTTAAGCTGCATAGAGTATACAGATGAGAAGGGAATAAGATTGTGCCATTGTTATTCAGGTTTTTGATAAATCGTTTTAAATAACTGAGATGAATTAAATGTTGAACTAGTTTTTTCTAGCCTCCTGATGTACATAGTGAGTAGACAGATTTTTCAAATCGTAATAATATCAGTTGTAATTGTGTTGGAGATAGTAAACTGGGATAAATAATTTGAGATGACTAAACCTCAAGTTTAATATTATTGAACTTTTTTAAAAATGTTTTTGTTATCATCCATTAAAACCATTCTCTCAAACTCTTAGTTTGGTTATTGCTCATTAAAATCATTCTCTCAATTGCTAACTGTTTGGGCAGTCCATTGTATGAAATAGGTAACAGGCAGGAGATTAGCAGTGCACTGGACCATGAACTTTGTTGTTTTAAGCTGTAGGGGTTATGGGATGAAGGGGTTTGGGGAGGTTACCTAGCTATAATCATGACATGCAGTAGTAAACTTTGACTTATAAACAAATAAAATGAATGTCACGGTTACTTGAAGGATTGAAGGACAATTGACACCAGTGAAGATTCCTGTCCACACATTTTTGGGACTTGTACTCGTACACCAAAAGTTGGGCAACCTGGACCTACGCATACCTAAACAAGTGAATGTCTGGTACCTGAAATAGCAAAACTGTACCCAAAGACTTGAAGTGATTGTTCATCTTCAAAACTGTATCTATGACCACTGACATTTTATTCAATGACCAGGAAATGTTTGAGACTGGGGGACATTGAGGTGACACAGATGTTATTACAATAATAGAATAAAATCTGTTTAGCAAGTTTAGTAACCTCTAAACACCACATTAACATGTTCTCAACTAAGACTTTGTTTATTTGTGACACATTACCGACTGTGTCGCACCAACCAGGAATTAATTTCATTCATAGAAACTTACTTTTAAATCAACAGCACTAAATTGAAGGAGGAATCATATGTTTATGGTGTGGTTTAATTTCAAACAGTGTGCAAAATAGTTTCCAAATTTTGCTAGCCAGTCAGGCTAGCTGTGCCTGAAAGTTACTAGCCCACAAAATAATTCACTAGCCCGAAAATTGAATGTAGACAAGAGTTTCTTCATTAAGCTGCTAATATGATGAACATTTTATCAGGCCATAATCTTGCATGATTCAAAAGTGTATCATAAGTTAACAAGTCGGAGAGAGTGATATATTTACGAAATGACCAAGTGATAATTCACTAACCAGTCGGGCCAGTGCATGTGGAGATTTACAGGCCCGACTGGCTAGCGGGCCAGAGGCTATTTCTAACACTGGTTTCAAATATGAAATTCAGCATAGAATTATGGAATGACCGACACCAGCATTTAAACAGAATCATTGGTGCTTGACATGAAAGGTAGGCATGGTAATAATCAGCACGTCAGTGGTATGCACAATAAGGCAGATAATACTGTAGGCAATGTTAACAGTTTGCATTGTGTTCAACATGTGCAACGACATAAAAGTTAAAAAACTCAAAGCAGCAAAACGAGAAATCAGGGTGTGGCAATTCAACAGATACAAATACAAGTCAAAGGAAATTTCAAAAAGATTGGTTGAAGAAATATTACCAGCTAGGATATGTTTCAGATGAGGTACTATAACTTGCTAACACTGCTAATCCTATCAACTTTAAAGTTTGCCTCATACATTTTCTCCTGGCTCATTGGATTTCATACTGGCTCCTTTGAAAACATGTTAAGAGCTCCATGAAATAAAATTTCAACTTTTAAACTAAAGCCTGACATAAATGTGCATTTTGAGTTGCTATTGGCATTCAAGAACAGTGAACATGGTTAAGTCATAGACATACTGAAAGTAAACTCATGCACATGTTTTAATATTCATTTATCAGTGTTTTACCTCGACTCACAAACATGGGAGTCCCAGGCCACTAATTACTAGTTTTGCAGGAAATATGAGGGTCTTGTGAAGTAACGGTTTAGAGAACTGTATGTTTTGATAATTTCTTCAGAGCCTGGAATGAATCATTGATCATGCAGGCTGATGGGTGAAATGATGCACACAACTGCTCTGAAAGAAACAACCGAACACTTAGCAAAGTCATACATGTGTTGTGGGTACAATGAATAATATTGAGGGTCCCTCTGGATGCTGTGAATTATTATTCTGTGTCCATTCACTACATTTGTGCGTACTGAATTATTATTTATTGATCATATATCGGAATGATTGACAGTACTGATATCAGTATGATAATATTATTAAAACTCAGGGAATACAAGTATATAGCATGGTTCAGCAGCTTCCTTTGTGAACATAATGCAAAATGAAAAGTTGAAAACTGATAAGTATCAGTATTTGTTTTGCAAGATACTTTGTATATAGGACTACAAATTAAAAATCTGGTTATCATACTCTGAGATGGACAAGAACATCACTGGGAAAGTTTTGTTTTGATAGAATTTGCAGTATACATTGTCATGTCTGTAAACAAAATTATGAATAATCTGGTAAATGCATCTTAGCTGTAATAAACAAGACGATAACAACAATGTTGATAATAATTTCAAATTTGGGTTAAAAAATACCTTGACAACATAAAAATTCAATATGCATTGTTCCTGCTGAAATAAAGCAATATTTAACATATAATTTTATTTCCAAATTTTAGTTTTCAAATCTAAGGGTTCCCCATAAATTCTGTCTAAGAGTTTGGAAAATTTATGAATTCTCTCAATCCACAAATGTTGACCCACAGGTCCAAATGTATCACATAACAATGCAAACGTGTAAGCAGGTATATCCTTGTATCACAGGCTTTGGGGGACTAAAGAAACATTGGTTTTTTTCTGATCACATAAATGACAATACAAAATCTTACCAACATAATCAATATTATCATTACTCAGGGACATTCAATTATATACAGCATGGTCTAGCATCTTCTTTCATGAATTAAGTGATTTTTTTTTTTAAAAATGAGTGTGCAGTTCCATATTTTAACATGTTTAATGTAAATGATATACACTATTTAATATATAATCAATGACCACAATGGCTGAAGCCATCAGTAAGCCACAAAGTAAGTTAGATATTAACGTATACAGCTCCAGCTGTTGGTATCATCCTAGCAGAATATCATATGTACATACCTTGGTCGTTCTGTGTCCCTTACTTTGTAGGTAAACTGGTACCCAGGTACTACATTGTGTGGGTCGTCTTCATCCAAACATAACATATTATGTGGACAAGGTACCCTCCTGAGAAAATCTTGTTCTCCATTTGGGTTACAATCAACATCAAATGCGATTGTGTCTATCTTGTTGAACATTCTTGGACAAGCAGTTTCCCGTGGCAACGTCCGATTTGTGTAAAATTCAATAAAATATTCACTATCAACCACAACAAGCTTAAGATCCAGGCTTACACTTGAGTCTGTGGTGATGTTTCCAAAAATATAACCTTGTGTTCGGTCTAAATCTGGAGATGTGGTTTTCTGAAAACCAAACTTTGCTAGAAACAAGAAAAATCCTTCCGAGTTCCATGTTCCTTTTAAGTGAAGACATGAGGTATACGGTAATAAAATGGCGATGATAAGAAGCAGCTTCACGTATGAAGGTTCCATTTCTGATATAAATCCCTACGCATAAGTTGTTTGTTCATATCTGATGCAGGCGCATACTTCTACACTTGGAATATATTTCACGCCGGGTTGTCACTGTCAGCTGCGTCCGCCATCTTTACAACAGATGTCATGTGACATCAACTTCCGGATATACACGCGTTTTCTCAGCAGACTTGCTGTGAGTCCCTTGTGAATATCAGATTAATGGCTATTTTTAATGCGCAAAAATTCCTTTCCTGGAATTTTATATTTTTCCGTATAGGAAATTGGTATATTTTAACTGATAGAACAGAACAGAACAGAATTTTATTTCAGTAACAGGCCTCCGGCCCAAATACATGTACATAAATTGATGATAAGTAGAGCACATATATATTTCATTTAGATTTGTGTTTCTTGTCAACAAAGTATAAAAATAGACATACATCCTTGATAATATTAACATTTTTACTCTGTAATATTGATATAAAATTAATAATTGATGGACATTTACTAAAATATTTTTATATGTACTTATTTCTGATATGAGAATATGCATCACAGATATAAAACACATGCCATTCATCTTCAACAACGAAGATACGATTTAATTCACAAAACAGGCAATGCCTTTCATTATATGCAACATCAGTGTATCTGCCCGTTTCAACTGCTAGTTTAAAATTACAGCACCGAAATCGTGCATATATAGTTTTTAAATATTGAGGGATATCATTATTTATCAAGTAGCTCTCAACATTTAACAAAGATTTGAATTGCTTATAGTAAAGACATTTACAGTTACTGTCCAAAGATGAATGCCAAGATTGAAATAAATTATCATGTAGTCTCTGTTTAAATGATTCCATAAATATTTTGTGATCACCAATTTCCTGACTTATCCAAACAAATCCAAAACCAAATTGAAAAAGAATATTTTTAATTCTAGTTGCCCATGAATTTCGTCCTACCCTGTCTAAAGATAATAGCATAAAATAACATTGTTTTGGTAATCTATAGTCAGGCATGTTTAGAAGTCTGCACCAGTATTTCACTGCATTGGTTGTATAAGTAAACTGTAAAGGCACTCTTCCACATTCACCCAAGACCATATTGTTACAGGTGGATTTTCCAAGTTTCAAGACATATTTACAGAATTTAATATGGACAGATTCAATAGTATTACAGTAGGATGTGCCCCAGATTTCAGACCCATAACAGAGAATGGGTGATATCATACAATCAAAGATTTTAAATAAATCTGTACAATTAATGCTGCCAAGTTTCCTTTGGAGAGAATATTGCCTTACTAGCTTGTGATGCAAGGCAAGATGTAGCTTTACTCCAGGATAATTTAGGAGTGAACATAATTCCTAGGTACTTGTAAAAGGATACAGTTTCAATAACATTGCCATTATAAAGCCAATTTTCATATGAGCGCAGGGGACCACTATTTCTAAAAACAGTAATCTTAGTTTTCTTTAGATTCACGCTCATACCAGTTTGCTCACAAAATTTACCAAGTACATTGATCTTTTTTTGCAGCTGTGCACAGGTGTCAGCTATTGCTGACACATCATCAGCAAACATGAGAGAGCAGAGATTGCTAATAGAAGAAGAAACTGTAATACCTTGACCTCCTTCCAACTCCATAAGACTGCATAGCTTATTTATGAAGATAATAAAAATCTGAGGGCTCAAAACACAGCCTTGGTGAGTACCGATTTTACAATAAAAACTATTTGATACACCCTTAGATGTCCTGACTGAAGCTGATAAAGAACTATACATAGAAGTTAACAGCATAAGAAATTTACCTCGTATACCAACTTCATAAAGTGACTTTAGAAGAACATCATGCCTTAGAGTATCAAAAGCCTTGGCAAAATCTACAAAGAGACAATAAAAGCTACCCCTTTTTTTGCTAATATATTTTTGAATTAACGACTGCAATGAAAAAATAGAGCTGTAAGGGACAGTTATATAGCCGGTGAAACTAAAACATTTTTGGTTAAAAATTACTTGGCAGTTATATGCCCACTCAACACTAAGACCGATGTCAAATATAATGCCAACTGTCACACAGAAATTATCTTATTTTAGTGTGTGTGAGTGGGTGTGGGTTGGGTGTGTGTGAGTGTCAGCTATTTTGTACTTTTGTAGTGATATTTAAATTATATGCTTAAAATAGGGGGGGCTGTACATGGGTGTGTGTGTGTGTGTGTTGTCACTTACTTTGTCGATATAATAGAGGTGTGTTTTCTGTCATCTACCGCTTTGGTTGTTATCAAGAAATATTTAAATATGTTTATCAACAAGGCATAAGCATGGGAAATGGCGATTCAACAAATAATTCGGACCAGTGAGTGAGTATGGTTTTACGCCGCTTTTAGCAATATTCCAGCAATGTCACGGCGGGGGGCACCAGAAATGGGTTTCACACATTGCGCCTATGTGGGGAATCGAACCCGCGTCTTCGGTGTGACAAGTGAACGCCTCAACCAAAAGGCTACCCCTTCGGACCACTCGAGGCTCGTCTACATTTTACCAGAAGGATGACTGTCCAGTGTGCTTCATGACTGTAGTAACGTTACAAAGTCTGTTTGAGTCAAAATGATACCGATGAATTGCAAGCTAACACAAAAACAAATAGACATAAAAGAACCAAACCAACGCCGACTGCAATAAACAGAACAGACCAACTCTAGAAAAAAAATTGCAGAATTTGTGTCACAAAAATAAAAGAGTTGTTTAAAGAACCACTAAACTTTGTTTTTTGTTACTCTTTTAACCATTACATATGAAAGATTTGTGGTTAGTCTTATGCGGAACACCAAATTTATTCTTTAAAAACTTGTGGTTAATTAATACCGAGCGATTAAAAGTGGCCAAAAAGTCGCCTGCTTCCCTCTCGCCCGCCAACGAAACCACAGACAGGTTACGTAACTCTGTCGCCAGAGCGCTGCAGTGACGTCATATGAGGAACGATTTTCAGTTAGTTGTATCAGGGGAGACTCTATAGTTGTAGAGTATCCCTGGTTGTATAGAAAATGTGTAGCACGCTCATCATTTTGATGATTTCTCGACATCAACGACGACATGCCGAATCGTTGCTTTGTCGTCAATTGCTCCTAGGGGTCGGGCGATGGTGTCCCCATGCACAGATTTCCACAGGACCCCGCAGTTCGTGCTAAATGGGTTATGTTTGTGAGTGCGAAGCGAGCGTTGTGGAAGCCTGAAACGATATCTTACTTGTGTTCAGATCGCTTCACGGAAGTTAAAGAATCAAAACTACTTACTAGTTGTAGTAAAATATGCATATGATTGATGACCATAAAGATTTTCTATGACACAACTTGTAACATAACGATTTCTTCCTCGGAAGTGAGGTTGTGGTCGAAGTAATAATAATAATATTGTAAGTAGTATTATATTGACACCAACCTCGCTGCCACCAGAGAAATTGTTATGATATACGCTATGTCATGCAAAATCCTATTGGCCATCAATAAAATACATATTTTACTACCAGTAGAAAGTAGTTTTGATTTTGTAACTCGGTGAAAACAAACCTAAATACCATTTATCCTCAGACTGGCGGATGTTCCCGACAGGGCGCCGCCATTTTTAAAAATAAAAAAATCTGTTAGAATTAATGAGATTATAGTTTGTTTTCATCAAGTTAGAAAATCAAGACTACTTTCTACTCGTTGTTAAATATGTATTGGAATCATAACCAAACGGATTTTGCATGACACAACTTATAACATAACGATTTCTTCCACGGAAGCGAGGTGGGGGTCGAAGTCACAATACTGCGCGATAAATTTCTTGCTACATTCCCATGGTTAATGTCCACTCACCAGTATGTAGATACTAGTCAATGTGCGTCTTTATATTTGGTCTTATAATCCTAATTAGTTTATTATCACACTTGTATGAATTTTGAAACTAAATAAAAAGCAGACGATCTGCTGATACTTATAGTGAATTTATAACAGAACTGTAATATCTAGACATTTTATAGTTTGCCAATGTGAATCATAATTCGCACACACACCCTAGTGCATGTTGTCTGTCTCATTACACTTCACGGCGAAAACAATGATTCTGTTGAATGCTACGACAAATGAATAAAAACAAAATGCAAATATTAAAATTAGAACAGATTAAAGTTATAGGAACAATATCAGGCCATTACCTTGTTCGAGGAATGTATCCATCAATATCCACAAAACTGTTCCAAATGATGTGTCTTTTAACAGTTTAATATACGAAAAAGTGATCAATCTTTTCAGGTATTGGTGTATAGTCTCATTGGTCACCCAAGATAGCACACCTGGCAACTAATTGCATAATGTCCGCCTTTCTTTAAAAACAGTAATTTAGTTAGCCAATAATGGGCAATCAATCAATGTATTGCCGGTTAATCCTTTGAAAGAAGGACGTTGTTTTTACGCAGACACCGACACGGCAGAGTGTATTCAGTATAGATTAGTAAATCTACATACATAAACACTACCTTTGACAATTCCGCTGTGTAAGATAAAAGTAATTAATCAATCAGCGTGTTATCGGTTAATCCTTTGATCGATGTTTATAATGTTGAATATTTACTCCAGACACAAGAAATGCCAAATGGGAACCTTTGTCGGGTAATCTAAGTGTGTTACCACTAATTATACCTGTTGTAAATTCATTAACTGACCATCAAGTGAATGATGACAAATAACATGTGTAGGTTTATACCACCTAACACGGGTTACAACGAGGGAGTATTAATTGCTGTATTGCATGTGAAAACTTATGGGCCGACACTGTTTTGAGAATACAAACAGATTTTTTACATGACATGATTAAATATCGAGGTAAAACAACACAGAAATGGGATCAATTTGGATCAGTCATTATACAAATAGGGCCTAACGACACCAATCGAATTTGACAGAATCGTCTATGAAAACAAGTTGTAACTCGGAAACTAGGCAAAGCAGGAGACAAAATTAAATGACAGTAGATTGTGAGAACATATAGCTTTCATTTTCCAAAACAATTGTCACGATTTCAGGTTATTCAAGCCTGTAAACACGATAATTTACCCCCCTAAAATGTAGATGAATTCTGCATCGGCTCT